GGTGGGGTGGGGCATGTTAACGTTCGGTTGCACTTGCTGCATGAAGTGGATGCTGTGTTCAGTTGCTGCGCCAAAGCTTGACCTATGCCACACCGGCTCAGTTCTTGCGCTGCTTGGAGTAGCTCTTGTGAAGACTGAAAAGTCGCAACTTTTTTCCGACGGCCCAATTACTTACGTGGTTTCGAAAATGCTTCGAAATCAGCATTTCGCCTCAGCGAAACTCTCATTTCAAGCAAATCTGCTTGGAATTGACCATGGTTCCACTGATGAAACGTTGGGCAGATCATTCCTAATGGAATTATGCACATTTCGACATGATTAACCCACGACCATCATTGATTTACACCACGGCCGTCTATCCGCCGTGTACCTAGTTCCTTTCCACTGCAGTTCCCTTGATCGTACTCCCACTCGGAAGTGCAGAGGCTGAACAATCGGCCCGGGATGATGGGGAAATCGTAGCTTCAGCAGCATTGTGCTCCTAGATTAAGGGAGTCTGTCTTAGTCACCTCCAGACTATACACCCGCGGAGCAGATAGGATATCCTGCACCCACAACACTGCCACTAGTTGTCCAGCTCCTTCCTCATGCGCGGCATTGTTGGTTGATGGCCTTTCTTGATGCTGCTGGAAGCCATAGGCGCTATGGCATATGCTGGCCTACTTGGGGCCTTTTCCAAGTGCCAGTAGACAAAGCCTTGGAGCTTCCGCTTCGTCAAATGTCAATACGGCATACGGCAGCCCGCGCAATTCAGCGTGCTTTCCGCACTCATTTGCAGAAGTTCTGGTGGTGGCAAGTTGCCTCAGTCAGGGAAGAGGCACGCATTCGACATGTGTCGGTGCGTGATGTCTCCGGCACATCACCATGCCTTTCAACAGGGCAGAGTCTGCAAAGAAGATTCAAGCTTGGCTCAGGGCATCTCAGGGCAAATGCTGGGAATGCTTACAGCGATAGCCGCGATGATGATTCCAGCTTTGACGTCGACGATTCTGAAGCATCCTTTGCCAAAGACTTTGCTCTCGCTGCGGAAGAGCGGCTGATAGCGATATGGTGGATCATGGTGGATCACTTGTCGCCTACTGGCAAGGAGGGCCTGAGGATCATTCTTTCAAGGCTGGAGGCCCTACTAAAACAAACTCTCTTTGTTGGTGCCCGTGCAGCTGGAGCCTTCCGGGTCTTCTCAGGGCTTCAGCTGGTGAACTGTAAGGGGCCAGGCCTGGAAATCCTGGGGTGTGGGTCAATACGTCGCTCGGGCGGCGGGCGGGCGGTCTTTCAAGCTGCAGTCGCATACGCGCGCCACAACGATATTCCATTCCTAATATGGTGCCCATTGTGGAGCGATAGTGGGGAGGCACGTTCTTTCTGGCGACACTGAGTTTGTCGAGGACGAAGAGCTCCAAGGCCTCTGGCTGCACCGCAAATATCCCGCGTGCCGTTGCTACGCAAAGCTGCGTCGACAAGCGGCAAGTTGTAGGCAGGATTTCAGCGGGGTGCACGCGCTACGGCTTGGAACCCGACGAGGTCATCAATGTGCTGCTCACGAAGACAACCCTGGCCACATTGCCAATGTTGCTGTGGCTTTGAGTTGTTGAACTTGGCGCAGGTCCAATAAAGGAAAGGTTCTCTCTGCCCACCGAGGGAAGATTACAGAGCGTGGAAAGATAGAAATTCAATCGAAGTGCCTAGCAGGCGGTCACAAGACTTGTATAGAGACCGCAATAAAGATCAATATGGAAAGTTTCATGTATATAAATGTATATAAGAGGTTCGTCAAACTGCTTGATTCGAATTACCGTGCGTTTTTTGAAATTGTGTCAATGCCTTCAGGTTGGTCCCCGCCGCATGTCTCAGCGGTGGACAGCCGAGGTGTTGCCGTAACTGAATTTGTCAAATGTCTGCACCAAACTGTGATAGGTCGGAACGAATCTGAAACCTACGCTATTCCAATGTATTTGGCCAACTACGACGTGTCTCAGCTACAGACACGAATTGGCTGTAATTCGTTAGCCATGAATAAGGAAACTTGTCCGCTACGGCTTGAGGACGCTCCATTGTGGCAATGAACAAGAAAATGCAAGCCGGACAAATGAAGAGATCCCAAATTAAAGGTACACCCATTGGCAGGGGTCTCATCAACTGAAGAGATCGTCGCGCAAAAGCAAGTCATAAAAGCACCATGGAATCCACACGACCCATCCAGGACCAGAAACAAGCGATGCCAAGTTAAGAAACAACTGACATGTGCTGTATTGTGCTGTATTTGCACCTGTCCAGGAGAAAAAATTGGAAATTCGTGACACCAACGATTGGTTGCTAACAGCTCCACAAGTCACACACGTCAACTTATAAGTCACTAAACCTAAACCCGAGTTCACTGAACCGGTAGTTGGTAGTCAATCCTTTTTGCTTTCAAGGTCCCCTCTTGCTTCACCAGACGCCGGTGCTTGAACACCGCTGGACGGAGTTGAGCTCGAGACTTCGGAGTGATCCCTCAGGCGGAGCTGGAAGCAGCCAACGTTTTTAGGAAAGAGCTGGAGGAGATGAGGTGGGAGATTTGGCGGGAGTCTTGGACTTGGTGCTTTTCCAGCTCTCGTGCTGGAGACTTGGTGACCACATAGTCCATACCCTCTGACTCACTAACATGGAAATGGAAAATGGTCACTTGGAAGACCTTCCTCTACCAGCGGGGGGTTTTCCACTTCCGTGTTGGTGAGTCAGAGCGTACTCGTGATTGAGATGGCCCCTCCCGTCTTTTTCTTGAGGCTGAGTTGGGTATAAGAAACAAGGGGGGGGCATCACCACCAGCAGTCACAAAGGGGTGCTTTCCACAGAGGTTAGGGGTGCCCATTATCCACTCACTTGGGGACTAAACACCACCCCGTCTTGCGACTCCTGGCAGTTCCTTTTTTTTTTTTTGGCCAGGTGTGGTATGTACTGCAGAGCCCGTAGAGCTTTTGATCGTAGGGCGCGTGTTCTGCCTGCAGCGACCTGCCCGTACACTGCACCTATTCCCGGGAGCGAGTTCGAACGTGAGGGTTCCGCCTCCGTGACCGCTTCAGAAAGCACGGTGCCTGCCGTTTGCCCTGCGCGCGCGTGCGCGCGATCAGGCGCCAGTTGAAGGCTGCAGAGGCCACCGAAGCGGAGCTGACCTCGCTTCGGCAGCAGCACTTTGCCCTGCAGCACCGGCTGATGAACGAAACCAGGCGCAAGCGGTTTGAGATGAGAGTCAAGCAAGAAGAACTCCGGCCGGCATTTGAGATGTGAAGCATTCTACGCCGCTTTCAGCGTTTTTTGGGGCCTGCCTACCCAGTCAGTTGATAACCTTTCAACAACCCTTTTGCAAGAGAGGTTTCCCCCCACGACAGCAAAAAGGCATCAAAAGGCTAATTAACCACATTGTTCCAGGATGTTCCAGGCAAACTGATGAGGTCAGGCAAACTGGTGGATTTATTTCATTCAAGTTGGTGAGTGGGTGAAAGACCCGGAGAAGAAGGGTACTAAGAAGGGTGATAATTCTTCGAAAAAGAAGTCGTGGAAAAACGGGCGTGTGGAAGAGCTCTGCGTGCGGTCTTTGGGGGTTCATATGTTGGGGCCACATGGCGTGATTGGTCAGCGAAGATGGAGACGGGCGACAGGGCGGTTCTGAAGATGTTGGAATCCTTGCCAGAAGCACCCCTACAATTTTGCATGAGGCAACATGCACCCTTCATGACTGGCCCAGCACCTCATGACTGCTGCCCTTTTCCCATCGACCTCACCCACCTGCCTCCCCCTTTTTCGGTGCCTCCAGGCTACGGGAGGAACTGAGGCGACGGGCGGAACCGGCGGGAGGAACCGGTGGAAGATCTTTTGATTTCCTAGGGCTCCTGGCGCGCCTCCTGAGAAGATGGCTATGGTGGGTGCCGGGGGGCGTCTAACCACCGGTCACCTAAGGAGATGGGCCCAGACCAGGAGCCCCTTCCGGACTTGCCACGAAGATCCTGAGTTGGTTTCGGTTGGTCCGGAGGGGTCAAGAGGGAATGTTGTTTGGATTCTGATTGAGGTGAGGGATGCTTTGGATTCTGCTGGAAGCAACCCGAGAAAGGGATCAAGTGCATGCCTGAGGAGCAGATGGAAGCCTTGACGGGCCAGTTGGGTTTCCAGCCAAGTCGTTAACATGTGTCAGGCGGACGATATTCATTATACTAAAGTGCAAATCCAGTGCCATCCAGTGTTCAATTGGGGGTCAATGTTCAGATTCTATTCTTAAGCAGTTTTTGAAGCCCTAGGGCCCTAGGGCTCCAACCACCTCCTGAGAAGGTGCTTGGGGTGGGTGCCAGGGGGGTCTAACCACCGAACCTGAGGATATGGTTGGAGCCCTAGGGGAGAATCAATTTGCCCAACCGTGTTAACCAGGGACCTCGACCACTTTCTCACAGCCGCTGCATGGACAGCTTGCCCTCACCACAAGGCGGGCGGCCGCGAGAAATGAACAACGGCACCTTGGCTTGCCTTGGCGTCTATGACCACATTACTGTCGGAAATGCAGAGGTGGCACGCACATACCACACATGGTGCAACGTTTCCCTGCAGTTATAATCACAGTTAACCCTAGGGCTCAAGTCCTACCTTCTCAGAAGGGCACATATAGAATATAGACCGTCCAAACCCCTCCAAACCGCATCCAACACCTTCTTGGGCAGTATTTGGGCTCTGGGACTATGTGAAGAAATGCAGGCTATAGACAGGGAAAGTCTATTTGGAGCTGACGGCTCACGGTGAAACACCTCTAACCGCCTGTCAACCGTGGAGGGTTCTCGTTTACGACGGCTCCATTGGATTTTTTTTTTCGCCACTAAGGCCACATCCAGGACAAGAACTGGCATCCTGAAGGGAGCCCTGTTCCTGTCATCCTAGCGGGTTCCAGGATTCCTCGACTGCGCCCTGTGCCCCAATACGTGGTGCACAGAATGGATGGAAGTGACAGATACACAATGATACACGTTATATACTATAGATTCATATTAATCTATATTATATTTTGCAGTTGAATTGTGCTCATTTGTCCATTTGTGGTGTATTGTGATATTGTTTGTAGATGTGTTGTTTGTGCAGAATCATACGTACAAGTGACAAGTGCTTTCTTGTGATGATGTTTACTATAGTTTGACTCGCTTGAGGATCCAGGACCTTCATTGCTGAGTAGGTCTCAGCATACCTTCCGTCGTGCATGGCGCACGGTGGGTTTTTGCGCGCAGGACCACGAAGTGCGACTGCTGGCAAAAGAAGCTGCAGAAGCGTTCGATTGCTGTGATCAAGCAACTGTGTTTCTTAATATTCGGGTTCGGTTCTTGGCCAGAAAGCCTTAGAACTCAACAACTATACTGTAAGCCTTTGTTCGCAACCCTGGAGCCAGCAACCAGCCCCGCATTCCATTTATCATACGTATAATGGGTGCATTTCATGCGCCTTGTGCCAACTATATATTCAACCCGTTATACGTGCATTGAAGAGGCTTGTTGGATATGAATCTTCGCACCCAAAAGGGGTGCCATTCAAATAGATTCAAGAATCCATCATGGCTGTCTCTCCAGGTTCCCACCCCACGAAACCTCCATTCATCACCGGCATGTCTCCTAAAAGAAGGAAGAAGAAGAAGAAGAACAACAACAACAACAACAACAACTACTACTACTACTACTTCCCTCACCCAACCCGTCCAGATTCCCAGAATGTCCCATCCCCCAAGACGGGGCTCGGCGCTCTCGGCCCCTCCCCCATCATCGCCCTGACCCATCGCCCAACCCGGCGGTCTGACGTCGCACGTTTGCACAGGTCGTGGTGGACTGCCGGGGACACCTGCTGGGACGCTTAGCCTCGGTGCTCGCCAAGGAGCCGCGGAAGCGCGGCGCGTCTCGGGAGGGGCCGGCCGAGCGTTTCGCCTGGCCTATAGGAGCTCCTGAACGGGCAGAACGTGGTGTGCGTGCCGGGAGCCCGGGAGCCAGACGTTCAGCTGGTGGTTTGAAGAGAAGCACTCTGCACATGATGCCCCTCAATTCCCAGCGCCCGACTTCTTACATGTTTTTTCGTTCAAGGGTGTTATTGGACCCCATTCCATTCCACTCATAGCGGGCCAGAGATATATAATATATATATATATATCTCACTAGGTGGCCTGGCAGTGAGGGTGCCAGGTGAAACTCACATGGCCACCTGGTCGAATCATGGCACCAATCCTTTCGGCAGGAATACTGCTGTGTTTGTCTAGCTGGTGCTCAGTGTGTCATAGGGTATCCATTTGGTTAGGGTCTGTCCCATTACCTGTACCAGTCAGTACACAATTAATAACAATCATGTTTGAACAAGGCCTGCAACTGAACCATCATCATCCACTGGGCCCAGGTAATCGGATAGATCGGATAGACCCAACATAGATCGGATAGACCCAACATAGATTAATAGATCGGATAGACCCAACATAGATCGGATAGACCCAACATGTTGTATCCATCTTCCCCATCAAAATCATTAAACAGGGAACCAAGGAGCTACTGGGAGTCTCCGCGGTTTCACCTTGCCAGTTGTTGGACAAGAGAACAAGTTCCTCAACCTAAACCACAACTCTTTCATACTCTTTGAGCCTGCCTGTCATCATCACTCGCAAGCATCTCCTGCTGTCGACCACGGCCGCTGGGTAAACTCTGTGAAACTCTTCTCGTGGGAGGCGGGCAGAGGACATCAACATCAGTGGATCCTTGTACCGCAACAAGCTGAAGTACGCCGCTCGGCTCCCACCCAAGGCCCCGCTTCCCAAGCCCGGCTCCCGCCCGCGTCTCGACGAGTTTCGCGGTTGGGGCAACGTTCGGTGGGTGTGCTGGGTGTTCTTCCCCTAGGGCTCCAACCACCTCCTCAGAATGTAGTTAGACCCCCCAGACCCACCCCTGGCCCGAACCTCAAGGTGGGCCAGGAGCCCTAGGGTTATCTCCAGTCGGAGGCTCTGTTGGGTGTGGATTGGTTTCACGCGCGGGGGGGAGGAACATGGGGATCGATGAGGGGGTTCCAGCCGTCGGTGGCCTCCAAGGACAAAGGGGGGTCCAGGGCACTCCAATGGAGAGGACAGACTGGATGACCCGAAAAACCTGGAGCTTCCATGATCTTCCAAGCTTTTCCAACGACTTGTATGCGAAACTTCTGCCTGTTCATCTCTCATTAAAAACCCACCCAAAGACAGGAATTCGGCATAGTTGGAAGAGGTGTCTCAGATCCCTGAGAATTTTCCTGATGAAAGGGCGACGGCCCTGATGGTGGGAGTTCGGGCGGTGGCTATGCGATAAGATTCCTGGCCCACCATTGATTTATGTCTTAGCGAACAACCATTGTTTTACTCAGGCAAGGGTCCGGGTACTGCTACAGGCATGAAGAACAACCCTTCAAGTGGCCAGGGGTGGTTGACCTGGAATTTCATGTGCGATGATGTGGGTATAGCCGTGTGGGAATAGATAGAAGGCACAAGAAAACTTATGTTAATGCATGCACATATGAACATAATCCACAACCAAGGAAATTGATTACAGAAAGTGATGGTCAGAAACAGCGAGAAAGAAAACACCATGCATACAGACAGCGGTTGCCCAAAAGAACAGAACTGAATTATGTATGATCTAAATGTTTGTTTTTAGGATTCTTGCAACTCAGACTCTTAGGACTCAGACTCTTAGGACTCTTGCAACTGTTTCAATTGCTGCCACCTTCCAAATAGCCTTCCAGCGGTGGGAATCAGGAGCTTTGTCATAGCAGAATTTTCTCGATTGGAACTCCTTGGAATCTGCAGATGGTGCTTACTTGAAGAGGTAGATCATGTAAGATCATGTAAGGAATAGATTCCAGGATGGGTGTGCAGACGTGGTGTCAGCGCAGACACCACTAAGTTGGCGCACGTAAGGCAAACTTCAAGCGGAAGCACATGAACACCAACCCTCGGCAGGGCCCCTTCCACTTCCGATCGCCGGCAAAGATCCTGTGGCGTCCCTCGTCAGCGAGTGGTTGGCGGGTGAGTGGTGGACGCCCGAAATCACTTCGCTTGCTCTGGGTGCGGAGAAAGGCATGCTATGCAATAATCATATAGTCAGAACATGATACAACAATTATCATTGAAATTCTCAAACCAAACATGGACCTATGGGATGCTTTTAGGTTGTCATGTGGGTTGTGCCACTAGCATTGACAGTAGCCCCTGAACATAGGGCTGCACAGTACTTGGAAACTCTCATTTGCCCCAAGTCTTAGGTGTCCTATACCCAAGTCTTGATATATGAATCCCAGGATGCAGCGTCCCTGAAGCCAAACTCTCGTTGATGAACCGCTCAACCGCAGCCATCAGGCACGGTTCGTGGCATGGTGCCCCACAAGACGGCGAGAGGCGCGGCAGCGTTGGACAAGTTGAAGACCTTCGAGGGCATTCCGCATCCTTATGTTCCTGGGACTGCAATCCCAAACACTCCATGGGACTACCATCTATGCCGAGAAACGGGCGTTCGGGGTGGTGCGTTCGAGGGGTCTGGCTGTTTCTCGGCAGTCCGTCCTGCCAGTCCCGTGAGTCGTGTCTGGGACTGTTCGTCGTTTTAGATAAGACAGGTGCTCGATTCCGAGGTTGAGGGACCACAACCCTAGAGTCGTACATGGATAGGCGAAAAAGGGCTGTGAAAGGCCTACAACCATAGGTTCTTTGGGTTTCTTTGGGGGTGATCATGTCTGTAAAGGCCTACAACCACGCCAGAGAGAGTTTCGAGAGCCGTTTAGAACTTTGGTGCCTGTAGATTTGAATTGGTAAGGACGCCTGGCAACCACAAGGCCTTCGGACTTAGCAGCGTTCCAGTTTACCGTAAATCCCAGTGAGTATTGTACTTAAGTCCTGGCAACTGTGGCTACCACAACCATTTGCTATACCAAGTTCAGTCTTGAGGATGCCTGCCCGAAAGACTCAGATCGTTTGTGTCTGGAATTGGAATTGCTGTTGTTTCATTTCATGTGACGTCCTTGAAAGATCATACACGGGGGTACATGTTTGTAATTCCATTCTTGGCCTGAAAATAGCTCTGTTGACTCAGATCCCCGCCAGCAGTTGCCTTGCTCTCCTTGCCAAGGACCGCAAGAAGAGGATGGTGGTGCCCGGGTGCCCAGCAGCAGCTGCCATGCCGGCCATGATCCAGATCGTGGGACATGAGAGGCTATCGCGACTATGGAATATGAACTTTGATATGTATTTTATAATCATGTTATCATATAGATGCAGTAGTAATAGATGCATTTTCCATGTTACCAGCAAATCCCGAATCAATGTCTTTGGGGATTTGGGGGTATATACCAGGACCCACAAGGGGTGGTTAATGGACACCCCTTAACATCTAAGGGGCTATCAATAGAAGCCCCTGAGGGGGTCCTGGTACTGATTGCTGCTCAAAGAACTTTACTGATTTAGATACTGAACTACCTCTCCAAGCCCCGAACCTACTCCAGCCGCTCCCCTTCTTCGCACCGGCCAAGGCCTAGCTGCTTGAAGGTCCTGCGCTTGCGACCGGAGCGCCGCTTCTGCCGCCTGGGCGACCTCTCCAAGGAGGTGGACTGAGACCGGTCGCGGTCGGGCTGGGAGGGTGGTCGGTGTGGGAAGGTGGCGGAGGGTTTGCTCCAAAAGGAGGTGCCAACACATCTTTAATCCAACTTGGTTCGTGAGTCGGAGGGAAGATGAAGATAGAACTCCACCAAAAAAAACAAACAGTGTCATGGTGTCGCAGGTTGCTTTTGAGTCCATGTTTCGGTCTTTTGCCTTTGATTCTTCCGAATGAGGCAGTGTTTGGGCGGATGGACTTGGGCGGCTTTCACTCCCCACCCCTGTTGGGGTTGACCCGCCGGGTCGGGGGTCGAGCTGAATCCGCCGCCCCAGGTGGGTTGGAAGCATGGTGCCTTGATCCAACGCTTGGAGAGCCAGCGAAAGGTGAAGAGCGAGGCCTTCTATAAGAAGAAGGCCAGAGAATCTGAAGGATTGGATCCACAGAATATCCTCTTAGAAGGTGATGCGACTGAGTGATGTGGGTGCCGGAGGTGCCAGGAAAGGTGGATCACCTGCAAAACATGGCAAAACAATGCGACACCTGTTTCTTTGGGTGCGGGTTGGCGGATTCGCCCTCAGCGTGGGTTGGTGATACACTCCTCACCTGACATCTTGAGGCATGTTGAACTGTGGATGGCGCCGCTAGTTACTAACCATATACGACATCTTACAACTGAATTGGTTCAGTTCTTGATATCGGATGTATATAGGTAGCCTTTGCTGCTAGAAAACCCTTCTGATCTCTCGCAGGCCAATCGGTTCGACGTTCGGAACCTACGAGTTCCCCGCCAGGCGGCCACCCACCGACAACGGACGAAGGCACCGCTTCGACCGGACCGTGACGCGCGGGGCTTCGTCATGGTTCGTTGCGGAGAGCCTCCCGAAAACGATCCCAGGGGCGGGGCCCGCGCGGGGTCGTCGTTTTGGGCACCCTGAAAGACGGTTTTCCTCTACAAATGAGTGATGTTCAGGGTCCATGTTGCGTAGTTTTACAGCGGGGTACATGTTGGAGGCCATCGCTCCTCGTTGACTGTCACTAGATGTCAGGAAGCAAAAAGATACATCTGATGTTCATTTACCAACGCCTCGCCGCTCACCTTGAGGAATGGCCTCAAAAAACGGGACCTAGTGGCAAGAAGCTGCTAGTAGCTAGAAGCTATTAGGGGCTCCTGGCCTTACTACTAGGAATAAGGACGCTACTAGGGGCTCCTGGCATCGCTACTAGTACCTATATACTCGGCCCTTTGTTGAAGGCGCCAGGTGGCCTCGGTGGTCTCGGTGGCCTCGTCCACCTCCGCTCCGCTTCTCCTCTAATAGCGATGGCCTCCACTCTAGAAGAGATGGCCTCCAACATAGTTAAGTTTCCCTAACAATCTAGGAACCAAATCATTAGTGCGCGAGCTATCCTGCGTCCTAGGTAGTAGCACTGGTGGTTTTGGGTGGTTAAGGTAGGCCATATATGGCCATATTGGCGACACGGAGTGTCATAGGGTGTGCAGTTTAAGAGTGAGACCCCCAGGCCCAATGGGTATATAGAATGGTCACAAGTAGTGTCACAAGTATATCCCAGACACTCCATGTATGCCATATATGCCTACATTGGGGTGTGTAGGCATATATGGCATACATGGAGTGTCTGGGTATTGTACCTGGCATCAACCCTCTACTGTATTGTTTCCCAAGGGCATCGGTGTGGCTGAGGGATGGGTGAAAAGCTGTTGAACGCTTCGGAGAACTCAGATGCAAGGGGACTGAAGATGCATCGCGTCACCTTTGGGAAGTGTCTTCAGTCCAGCCTCGAGATCAAATGTGTCGAATGACTGACCACCGGAGCAGGAGCCGGAACAAACCACACTCAAGCCAACTGAGCTTACTGCATCTGGACCATGTTTTACTCCTTCACCTTGGCAACGGCTTGTTGTTACAGTAGAAGAAGTCACATGTGATGAGTTCTGTGCATTCTTCTTTTGCAGGCAAGAGAGTGTCCAGTTCGACCATATTTGGCCCATTTGGGCCCCAGTGAAGTAAAGGAGGCTCTTTTGGAGATCACCTACACAGACCATTATTGTAAACAGTTTTTATATAGTGGATTGAGAATAGATGGCACAAACCCCAAGAGGTGGTTTATGTGGACCCCCATCTAAAGGATATCTTGGGGACTGTGCCATCTACTCTGAAAACACTGTACATATAGTCTGGTTGGTAATTAACGAAGAACCACACAGGGACATTTGTGGACATCCAATTTGGATACCCTATTTTGCCACTTGGTAAAAAGATAATTGTACCTTAAGAGTGAATCCAATATATTCAATCCGGAATTGTGCCAAGTGCCAAGTCCTGTACCTAATAAGTGTGGTGAAGACTTCTTGAAACATCTGGAATTCTTGGATTCTGGCACAGATTCCCAGCACTCTTTCCCAGAATCTTCCCAGAAGACATGACATATCTGTTCCAATTCCCAGCACTGCGTGCCACATCTTTTCTGCGGAAAACCCGCATGTCACTTGTAGGCCCTGGCCGCCGTGAAGCTCTCGAGCGATGAGCAGAAGGTCTTGGAAGCCGCTGGCTACGTATGACGGTCGACGCCCACGATGATCAGACGACGAGAGCGAGTTCACGCGCGGGGGGAGGAGAAAAAGGAAGCCGCCCAGCTGCGCCACATGGTGCCACTCCAGCAGCAGCCGACGAGACCACAGGTCTCTTCTGAAGGCTGATGTGGAGATCTTAAAAGTGGTAGATGGTGACCTGATTTGTTGGAGGGCATTGATAGATGTCACGATCACATTGCAAAAGTTGAATGTTTCAGTTTGCGCCGACATTTGGATTGGCTACACCCCCCGCCAAACCAATCATTTGCATTGCTCCACATTATGAGGCATGGAATAGTGACCAACATTTGGTTGCATCAGCACTTTTCTATACAAGGATGCTTTGGGATTGTCCTTGCCAGTATTTGCTCGTTTGATGTCATCCAGTTGCGATATCCGATAAGACTTGAATATGTTGTCAATCGATCAGTTCGTTCTTGCTCGTTCCGAATTTGCAACCTCCCACAACATGTATATGGCGCAAAGTGAGATGGCTTAATGAGGCAGCGAAGGGCGGTGATTTGATCAACGTGGAAAGGGATCGATGCGACGAGCCTTAGCGTTATGCGTTGCTAGCCGACATCCAGCTACCCCAACAGATCTGGCCTCTTTCTCGCACCACGGCGTCTCCGGATGATGTTGATGTTCGTTCGGGCTTTCCATGCACCAAACAGACCACATAGTCCAACTAAGCAGAGAGAACCCGCAGGGGGCGCATCTCCGCCTTCTTCCGCTCGCAACGTCCCCGCCGCGCCGGGAACCGCGCTGGCCGGCGCGCTCCCGGAAGCGTTTCCCGTCGCCTTCTGGGGATGGCCTACTTGGGTGAAGCGAAGAAGCGGCGGTGGCAAGAGCTACTGCATCAACTCCAAGAGGCGACCGGGGGGCGCGACCGGCGGCGACCTGCGCGGGATGCTGTTGGACGAGGTTGGCAGAAGCACCCGGGAAGAGGGACGGAACCTGAAAGCCACAACTACGGCTTGTGGAGGAAAAGAGCCTTCCAAAGGTAGGTTCCTTTTATATATGTCCATGTCAGTTTTCGGGAGTGCATTTACAAAACACCTGTGTACATATTGGATTATGTTGAGATGACTGTTGAGATGTGGAAGATTGTAAAACATACCCATGGCAATCTGTCAGGGTGGGGTGCAAGACCCCCCACCCTGTACTGCCAAGGGTGTTTGTAAAGCCGTTCTGGAGATCGGTGGTTTCTGGAATCGAACTGTCAGCAGTATACTGATGCCGGCGCAAACCTCCTGTGGTCTACGGCGTCTACGTGTAGATGGCAAGTCGTCGAAGTTCGTGTAGACCGAGCCTAGTGACTCCTGACATCTCCTAACCATCCGCCATCAGAGCCTCAGTGAGTAAAGCAAGTTGACGATCCACTGGATTTAAGGGAGATGTTTTTCCTGGTTTTTTTCCGACTTCTTCACACTTGGTGGACGTCCTGACTTCGGTTTTCACCGGCTTCCCATTCCTTGGTGACCGTCCACCACCGACTCGTCCTCGTCCTCGTCCTCCCGACTTCGGGACCCCCAACCCGGTGGACTCGACCAGTGGAACGAGCGGGGTGGCCAAGGGGTCGCCAAGGGTCCTCTTCCCCTGGAAGTCAAAGACCATTTTTTAAATGGTTGATCTCGTTTTGTAGTGTAAAACCCTTAGTAAAACAATAGTTGTTCGGTAAAAGAATGGTGGTTCGACTTCTAGGGCTTCCCCATTTGTACCAGCGGGAACGCAGGAGCGAGCGACAGTTCCGGCCACCCCAACCCTGGCGATGGCTCAGCCAGACCGTCGGTTTAGAGTCCTCTCCGTGCCCAAAAATGGCCCGCGAACTGGACTTCGGCAAGAGCTCAGGTCAGGAACCCCCAGAGGGTGATGTGGAAGGCATGAAAGCAAGTTGCTCAGAGATAGTAGCCCATCCACACATGCGTCGCGGGCGGGCCAGGAGCTGGAGAAGCAATCCACGCGTTTGGAGCATTTGGAAAAGATTGCTCCTTGAGCTTGATGATCCAGGATGAGGTGCTGAGAAAGCCTACCCCTAGTGTAGACCGATGATTAACAAAACAACATTGGGTGGTTCCATTTGGATATTTTGGGGTTGTAAGACCCCTTCATATGGGGAGGCTTTGTTACTCAACAGTCTACATTCTTCCTTGGTTCAGACAGGGCTGCTCTACGTAGACTGCTGGCTGTTACTGGTGCATCTAGTCCTAGGGGCCTATGGGCGTGAGATATCTAGGACCTGCGAGGGGGCCAAACCTCCTACAGTAGGATCTCCGGCAGTTGGAGGATGCTTAGGCTCAATCCCTTCTGGGGGGGAAGTTACGTATTGGTCCCGGTTTCTCCAGCAAATTCGAGAATCCATACCGCTAGTAGGGCCTAGGGATGGTGTCTCCAACCTACTAGGGATGGTGTTCTGCCCTAAGAGCGATGGCCTCCAACCTTCGAGAATCACCTGGGATTGAAGAAACGCGACGTCGCTCCAGCGCCTCCCGCCTCGCCGGTCAGAGACCCGCCGGGGACCAGCCGATTCCGACTGGAGACCCGACTGGACTGACGTCGTGTTGACGTGGCAGGAAACGTGTCGTGGGAGATGTGTCGGGTGGTTTCGGGGTTTCGGTGTTTCGGCATATGTTCCAGTCCCATGGAGTGGGCAGGGCAGGAGACGGAAGCAGCGCAAGTGCTTCCGGACATAGATGTGTGGATTCCGCCCTTTTCCACGTCCGACCACGAACGCTCGCTGGTTGACCAGGAATATATACAGATGTTTGTAGTAGCTTTTTTTTACACACATGTCTGTGTGTGCAAAGACAATGAAAAGAATGTGTGACCTGCTTTTGTAGGGTAGAACTCCTTAGTATGGTTGTTCGGTAAAGGATGGTAAAGGCTATAAAATCCAAGGTGGTTCGAATCCTAGGGTGTATATTGCTCAATTGATGTTTAACACCAGCGCATTTACAAGCTCTCTTCCAGTATAAGGTCCCTACCCGACAGAGCTTGTATATTGACCAGCAAGTTCATGTCGTCATGTGCTCGATGTAAATCCAATACCGGTCAGACCTGACCTGACCAATGTTCATGAGGAAGCGAGCGCTAAGCTTGAGAGGGTGGACTCAGACTATGGAGCCCATTCCGCAGCAATCACCTTCACTGTCCCTTGGATGGAGCGAAGCGGATGTCGGTCAGACGTCTAATTAGATTGGTGATTCTGAAGTGAAGGGAACTGCTTAAAACCCAAGCATAACTTGGCAGGAGGGGGATTTTGGACAACTCAAGTCATCCCAATCCATCAAAGTAATATAATTGGATTTACTCTCTCCAGAACTTACGGGGAAGTATATAGTTTTCCTATCATATTCCTCGTTTAGCATTTTACTGGAGGGTCTGCATGTCATATTTTTGTGTTGGGAATGACTTCTTCCTCGTAAGTTTGACATGCTAAACTTGCTAGACTTGCTCGACTTCCTCGTTTGTCAGTGCAAAAACTAGAATGTCCAGAAGCATCTAGCAAACAAAGAAGCCTACCATTTTTTGTCGACTATTCCCGGGGATTTACATGGTCACCAACTTCCTCGTAAACAGCGTCCTCGCCGAGATTTGCTTCCTCGTAAGTTCTGAGGAGTGTATTGAATCTTGAAACGGACACAGGTGGCTATGGGTCAAAGCCTGAAGCAGCTGTGGAGAGCCAAGCCTCAAAACCATGGTAGGCTGGTATTCATTGAAGAGAATTCCGTTAGCAACGGCTCTACATGCCTGGTTTCGCTTAGGGTGAGCTCCAAAATCCCTAGAATGCTCTTCGGACGTTGGTTCTTTGGTTCCAATTCTAGCAAGTCCAAGCACACCAACATCATCCAACATCCCAGTCAAAGCCCAAGGGCAGGGTGGTGGTGCCACCGTTCGGTGGCCCAAGCTGCGCTCCCACCAAGCGCCGCCTTGATCCCTGGTAGGTTGACCTGCACCTCCCAGGCAGCTCCTCCCCAAGGTATCGCCATGAGCCAGCCATCAATCATGCAGGCCACCTTTACACTCTGGAAGATTAACATGGAACCTGAAAACCACCGGTTTGTAGAGGAAAGTAGTCTTCCAAAGGTCCATTTTCAGGTTCCATGTCGGCCTCTTCCTGGGTGTAAATCCCATGGATCGTTTAGGGTATGCCTACATGGACCCTTCGCCATCGCATGTGCCCATCGCATGGACGTCGCCGCCCTGTGGCCCATGCATCTCCCCCCAAAAACGGCTGGACCTTAAAAGGCCTTTGAAAAGCGGCTTGCTTTCAGAAGGGGTTTACGGTTCGGTGACGGTGTTTCACCATGTCCAACACGTCACCTTCATAAAGTTAGATGAAGGGCATCAACCGAACTCCTTTTTGTTGGCACTTTTGGACTACTTTGCTTGACCTTACTGGAAGCCGACAAGAAAACATCCTCATAAAGACAAAGTTTGTGGATCCCTGTGGCCAGAAATCATCGGTCTCCAAGTCCCCCCCAACGGTTGGCGGCCAACGTCCGGGCGCCATGCCATCCCAGGGCATGAAGAGCTATGCCATCCCAGCACAGGTGGGGCGAGCTTTCTTCGTGCCGCTCGTGCCGCTGTGCGGCGGTCGTCCGAGGTCTTGAAAGGCACCTAAATGGTGGGAGCGCGGGGGGAAGTCCATGTGCACAATGAATGTGTTTATGTTTTTATCAGCTGGGGTGCGGTTTTTTTACTATTCTCCTTCACTGCCTATGAAAGGCCGTGACGGACAGGGACCGCAAGTCGCGCTATACTATTCTCAATCATATGCAATCGATCGCCTGGCTTGATGTGACTTGGCCGTTTCTTGAAGCCTCCAAGCCACTTCTATCGGGAACACGTTATCCACAGAAGGGGACGATTTGTGGATGAGATTGCAAGGGCACTCCATGTATGCCATATATGCCTACATTGACCCCCCCACATATATGGCAGTCCCATGGAGCGTTTGGGTTGTAGGGAGCGGAGATGTTTTGTACCCCTTCCAGCTGGTGTTGCCAGCTTCACATACCAGTTCATGCGTGTGTTGCGAGTTCAATGCGCGAACCCCATAATGCAACCAGTTGACGTGCCTGGACGCTTACGCAAGACGAATTAAACATAGTTAAACCTAGCCTGGCCTTCCTTTCTCCAGGACAACAGTCGGAAGTTCTTGTCGACGGCTCGGCAGGGTGTTGTACCACGGCCGCAATGGTGTTGGGAGTGAGATAACAGGGCCCAAAGACCAAGTGGTTGAGCTGGTTTGGCAGAGTAAAGTCATCCTTAGTAACAAGGTGTTGAGCTGTGGTGGAGCTGGTTTTGTGTTAAATCTCATCTCAGTAAAAGAACCAAGAGAGGTTGAACAGCCCCAGAGTCCATCCCATAATATGCACCACTCACTACAGGGTCCCATGTAAGGTCATATAAGGTCTCTCGACCTCTCTTGGAATGGTAGTAACGATCACTCCTGCATGGAATATTGGCCTACATTGACGCCAAATCAACCACTTCAAAGTTAATCAATTTGCAAAATAATGGCAGTCCCATTGGTCGTGTCTGGGGTGGGTTGTGCGTCCTTCTTTCACACCTCCGACGAACACATCACATGAAGTTCACAGTTCACTGCCGATGTAGTGACATTAGTTCATGTGCAACGGGTAGTGCAAGGGCTCCACCAGCTTCAAACGAGGAGCTCCTTACTTGAACCAACCATTCGAACGGCCACTCGCGGCGTCTCCACCGCAACCGGTCCCGCCTCTGCTGTGATGACCTCACCGGTCTCCCCGGTCTTCACCGGCTCCGCTGTGGCCTCCGGCGCACCGAGCCCAGTCGCGGATGTTCCGCTCGGAGCGCAGCAACTCGCAGACCGACGTGCCGCTGACCGCGCAGCCCTGCTACGTGCGCCCGGCGGGAACGGCGAAGACGACGCCACGGCCGAGCGCGAGGGCGTTGAAGCGGCGGCGGTGCGGTGCTTCAGCACCGGCAGGACTACGGGGGTTGATGGGGACCCCAAGTGACGAGATATGTCAGACTGTTGGACCTGGTGGCACCACCTGAAAATGGGTGGTGTGGGTCGCATGACGACAGTGGGATCCGTGTGCGGTTGTTGTTTGGGAACTCCATGCACGTTGGATATTGTTGGATATTATTAGATCATCTTAGCTGGAATGCTCCAAACCCTGGATTTGGAATGAGAACGATAGGTGATAGGTGAGTCAGAAATGTGACAACACAACGAATAGCCTCACATGGGAACCGCATGGTGCCTGACAAAATATTTGCTCACTGTTGTCCGAAACTCTTGATCTTTGTGTGACATTTTGAGGTGATTAACCCTGATGGCTGCTTCTATCGCAGGATTTGGACGCTTTGAGCAGCAAGGAAAAGCGGGGAAGTGGGGGCCATGGTGCACATCGATTCTACATGAGAAGCACGAGAGCATAGACATTTTCCCTACAAGTCCAGTCCGACCCAGTAAAGCCTGGTCCTTTACCTCCTCGAGTAGTATTTTTGTATGACCAATGTCAGTAAAATGAGCCTGGTTCTTCAAAGTGTCCTTTTCATAATGGTTACTTCAGCCTGCTAAGGGTCACTTAGGAACCTTCAAAGGTCATTGACTTGCAACCTCCAGGAGGTCCCCCCATACATCCCCGTCGACGCTTGAGGTCGGCCCCGGGCTGGGCCTAGGGAGTACTGGTGGTAGGGTGTGGCCTACTGGAAAATGCCTTGCTTCGGACTCCCGGTTCCGGGTCCGAGTCAACGGGCCGCCGGTTTGCCTAGGGGTGTGGCGTCGTACTCTACCTCAGGTTAGGTGAGTTTGGAGGGTCCAGTCGTACCGAGCCTTCTCGAAGGCGCGACTGGATCCGTCACCCTAACCCAGACACTCCGTATGTATGTCATATATGCCGCCCCATTGACCCCTTTGGCACCACCCCAATGTAGGTATATATGCCAGTTTCATGGAGTGTTTGAGTAAAGTTTTGGGGAAGCTCGTATTTTTTCATCCCAATGCCCTATTCGATCCTTTGGGGATGCGTTTTGGCTTCAGGATGCCATGTGACATGCTTTTTAATGAACATATACCAGTACCTTCCAACAGGTGGTGTTTGGGCACCTCTTAACCTCTAAGAGGCTATCTATAGACACCTCTTGGAAGGTCCTGGTACATATCAGTGGAACAATCACGCCGAATAGCCATTCTGACTCCACTGGAAAGAGGGTGAACAAAGGGGTATACATGTTCCCGACTGTTGAGAGACACATGGGAGGGTATTCCCCCGTGTGTTGGTTCAAGCGGAATGACCCGCGGCGACTTCGCCCGACCCGGCAGTGGGCCGGCTTCGCCCCCAAGGCACAGCATCATGCTTTCCGCGTCTGTCTACGTGGCCTTAATCACCCCGGTGCAGGTGGGCAAATACCGATTTGGGAGTCTCCGGTTGGGGTTTTTGTTCCAGTTAGAGGCAGGCGGTGCCTGGACGTGCTTTACCTAGTACTTAGTAACCGTGTTTTACCTTTAAAAACTGTAATTAGAGTGGGTGCCTTTTGCTGCTACAACAGTTTTGCGTACTCGACTCGGCGGGGTTGTCTTTCACGGTTCCCAGCTTTTAGGGGAAGAGGTGATGTGTTTGAAGTTGTCACGGAGACGTTTTAAAGGCGTGGAACTAAGTTCATGTAGAATCACACTCAATAGATTCGAGTCGCCCAGATAGCAGAGGGCCATTGAGGTGTTCGCTGGTGTTTGCTGCAACCCGCACAATTCCACACCGAGACCATCCATGTATGGAATAGTTACTGACCTACATTGGGGTCATAAATGGGGTAAATGTACAGTATGTAGGTAACCATTCCATACATGGATGGTTTGGGGACAGGTCTTGGGTGGCGTGCTTTGTGCCATGTGCTGTGCGCTTTGCTGTGCGCAAACACCTGCAAGGCGTTTGCCCTGGGGATGATGGAGGTGTCCTTCTTCTTGGTCTTGGGCCCCTCGACATGGCAACAGCGACAGCGAAGCTTTTTATCGGGAAATTTTGGGAGCAAGAGAACGGCACTGAGTTTGGTTGTTATGATGTTTTGTGTATTATGACCCCCAAATAGACAAACGATTTTCCATACAGTTGTAGTGGGGATCTACTATTCTATCTATATGGGGGTTTCTATTAATATGTAGTTATTCTCTTTTCGTGCACTGATGGTTTCCAAGGAGTTTCTGTCTTGGCTTTGGCATAATGTGGCAGTTGCACTCACTTGGACCTTTATGGCTTTATTTGTTTGTGTGACTATGTGTGACATTGTGTGACTTGTGCCTTTTTCTTCCACATCTTTCAACCCCACTTTGTGGCATCACACGAGCCATCTTGACATCGCACTAAATCCTGTAGGCCGGGATGATGCTTTTGGCGAGGGGTGTTTCCATGGATGTTGAGAGGACAAATGTTCCAGGACCTCCCAATGTGACCTTGAAAAACTTTGAAGTCTATAAGCCCAAGGGCTCCTGGCCTACATCCTGAGAAGATGGTTGGGCTGGGTGCCAGGAGGGTCCAACCACCTACCTTCTGAGGATATGGGCCAGGCGCCCGGGTCGGGAAGTGACCGCCCTAGCAGGCCTGTTTGTGACCTCATCCGATCTCAGTTCGTGGTGGTACTGGTATGCTCTTTCAGGCCACCTATGATTGAGCCATGGTTCTTCTGATATCTTCCATTCCCAGACACTCCATGGTACTGGCACGTTTACATACATTGGGGTGGTTTGGGAGGTCAACGGGGCGGCATATGTTCCTTGGAGTGTATGTCACCAGGCTTCGCCATCGACGTGGCCTTCATCGCTGACTTGATCTTCACCTTTTTCGCGCCTGGATCGCATCCGGCAGATTCCTGGGTGGCAGATTTTTTGAATTTTAGCAGCTTGTTGCTCCGTTCGTAGCGATGCCCTTGGTTACGTTGGTAGCGAACCTTGTTCCTAGCGTCCGATAGTTCCTAGGGCCTAGGGTTTGGAATCTCAAGCTACCAGCTGTTGACCCTGGATCTTCCCGATGTACTTGATCTCGTTTGAAGTCACTTACAGGCCTGTGAAAGGTCCTGGACTAAGGATTTTACACTACCAAACCAGGTCAACCATTTTGGGGGGAAGGCTAGGGAGAGGGATGTTGATTGATGTTGATGTGAGTGTCGGGAGTAGATCTGCCGACCTGGGCATGGGTGATGACTTCCGATGCCGAAGTCGTTCCCTTCCAGTCAGCCAACCGCCGAGAGAGACAAGTACTGTAGACACATTGGTTCCAAATCGCTTACGAAAACTGTTGTTGATGAGATAATCCCGTACCACTTGGAGCGACAGTAGTTGCGGGAGAACGTGTCAGTTTTGTTGTTTTTCCAAGATGGGTGCTGAGAATGCTTCTAGATATTTGTAGAAGTCCTAGCAGGTCCCAGAAGAAGCAATGGGTCTCCAAAACATGGGCACTTGCATCCCAACCGGTCTATTCTTGCATCGCCCTTCCTCTCAAGACAGGCTGATTAGCCTGTAACGTCACTCATCCCTGTGGGTCGGCGGGGTGGATTTCAAGGTCCAGATCCAGGTGCAAACTGCCACGGGCGTCAAGCGGGAGAGCAGCTTGAGCAGGACGCAATACCCGTTTACGTGTTGAAATCGGAGGAGAAAAGGAAGCATTCTCCACGGGGAACTGTGGTTGTTTTCACAATAAACCGGAGAAGGATGTGCCTTTGTTTTGGGGGCGGGGGACTAGTGGGTTATCTTAAGATCGATGATCAATTCACTTGCTTCTGGTAAACATTGCAACAACAATTGGGAATTCTAGCTTTGCAAATGGAATCTGGAAAAAGACCTGACAAGGAAGAAACCACAACATATTACACTAGTAGTTACACTAGAGTATATATTCCAACAAACTCCCAACAATGCCTATTAAACTATTAAAAGTTCACCAGAACGACTAGAATTTATAATGAGCATCATGAATCATGATCAACAACGCTCGCAGCGTTGTTAAGTTGGGCAGTTTGCTACTTATATCCAGGTGCTTGGTGTTTGTTCCGCATCCAGGATCGCGATGAACTACATCATGGGCTGGTTCTTTTGTGATCTGATACTCGGACCCATTTAAGCTTCGACGGCTTTCTCGAAGAGCCTGGCACCCATTTTCTCAGACCATGTATACTACAATATACTACATAAAATATCTCATGCGATAACCTTGACCTTTTTGAGGAAATTGATGGTTTGGTTTCCCACTCTTCAGTGATCAGTGAGGCCTTGATTTTCCGAAGCTGGTGGAATCAGTTAACTTCACCCCAGCCCTCACGAACTCGATACCGGGCTGACAGCTGAAGGTTGGGGCGTTGTTTTTGTTCTCCGGTTGCGGGGACTTGAAGAGACCTGAAGCTGATGGGCAGGGACCCAACCGGAAGAGGATGTTTTTTCTTCCAACCCAGGTGGTTGGAAGGGGTTCCATGTGAATCACACACTTTCCTGTTGGACCGGAGTCGAACGGAATGTCCTTGATCTGCAGTGGGGCGTCCCAGATCGTCGAACTGAGCTTCTGGGGGTGGCCAGGCCGGGTGCAGGGCCCAGTCTCCACCAGCCGTCACCTCATGTCACCGTTGCGCCTACGAGAAACCACGTGTGGACTATGCCTCCCTTTTCTCCGCGGAGGGGCGTCAGGTCTTCCCTCTTCGAGTGTTGAAGAACATCCCCTTTTGGTGGGTGAAACGCCGCCAGTTTCAGGTCCAAGACGCGTTCGGCCCCGCTGGACCGCCCGAGTTCGGTCGAGCATGTTCACTGAGGTTGGTGGTGATGCCTTTCGATCTCATAGGTGCCTTCTCCTACCCGACACGTCGTGCGATCGGACTTGGAATATGAGATGGGTCTCAACAGGTCTGTGGAAACTATCACCAAACTAGATCTGTGATCTGGGTGGTGGTTTTGGAATATTCAATTATGTTCAACCTTTACTTGGCATGATGGAACCCACTGACTATAATAGTTGAAACCACCCGGAGCTGCAGTGACCTGCCTGTTTCTTTCTTTTGTCCTCATGCCCGGGGGTGTGAGATCGGCCGGGAGATAACATGTGGTCCAACTTCTCTTCCAGCTTCTTCGTTTCAGACTCGCTGGTCTCGCAGGTCTTTTTTCGAGTAAGGCCAGGTGGTTGATGTGGTTGCTCCCATCGAGTCGGGTGATGGGTCCACTTGGAGGGTCACTTCAGAACCTCCATGACACGGACACTGGAACGGTCAGACTCCCTTCGGGATGGACCATGGATGACCGGCCACACTGCCCGCGCCGGGCGGGCGGGGCACCCGCCCGGGCGGACAATGGCAGAGGTGAAGTCCAGAACGCAGCTTCACCATCCTTCACCCTTGTTCTGAGCAAACATGGACACTGCCACCAAGGGTTGATTTTAGTAGGATGAAGGGTGTTTTTTTGTTGTGTGTTCTTAACGGGGAGGGTCCATCATGGTGAGCCAGACACAATTCGTGTCCTAGTCTTCAAAGATTCCTTTCCTAGTTTTCGATGTTTGCCATACCGGCCAGGGCAGCTTGGAGCATGCTTGAATCTCGAAAAGTACACCGACTGAGGGGTCATGAGGGATTATCAACTGTTAACATTAGATGGGTGATGGGGGCATGTTTCCCTGTATTGTTCTACAGGAAAACCTGCAGAACAAGCATGAACAAGCGTTCTGCTTCCATACCACATTTATGATATTTGTGAAAGATTCCTCATGCTTCCGGTGGCTTTCCTGTACCTGGGGCCGGGCCCATGGTCGGTGGCTACCGTTTTACCTCAGTTCCGTTTTGCAGGTGACCTGGTAGGAGGAGGCTTTCCGAAAGAAACAAGACCTGCATGACCCTTGGCCAACGTCTTCAGCTGAGGCCCATTGATTTGGCTCAAAAACCTGAAGCTCCGGACTCCGAACCCTAGTAGGTTGACCTGTGACCTCCCCGGCCGTCGATTCCATGTTCAGTGGGAGAAGCATCGCATCCCGGGGACCACGAGGCTTCTTCCTGGGCGTGGCTGGGGAAAGAGCCATCCGTCTGCTGCAGCTTGGTCGCGAACATGACCTCATGTGTGGCTGTCGGTGTGGACGGAAAAAGGGGGGACCCTTAGAAGTAGTTTCAAGTTTGGGGGTGAGCCTGTCCCAAACACTCCATGTTCATTGCTTATGTGTGTGGACGGAATAGGTGGTTTCAAGTTTGGGGTGATCCTGCCCTCCCAGATGCACATGCAAGACAGTCATCAAGTCGCTTCCGGGTGCGTGGGGAGAGTTGTGAGGGTCATTTCAGCGTCGTGGAGTGAAAGAAAGGTCTTTCCCATCTCATGCTTTTTTTGCCTTTGGTGTGCCCCTTTCCAACTCAAAAGGCGGATCACCTGCAACAGGTTTTTTGGGGAAGCCAAGCTCCCCCAGTTCTAGCAGGAAAGTTCGCTTTAGCTTCAGTCCCAGGGAAACCTCCGGCCTCGGGGGGGTGGAAATCAGACCACATTCCGACGGCTAAGGTGGATGTCGAAGGTCTTACGCCTGGTCAAGCCTTCCAGGCATTGGGCTTCTCTGTTTGGCAGTGGGTCATGCACCACCTGTGAAAACGCTCCGTTGTTTACGCTCCGTTTCCCCGTTTGTAGGTTGACCATGTTTGACCGTCTAGTCTATTCTCTTCATTTCTGGTGTCCCCCTGTTTTGACCCACTGCCATTTTTGGGGCGGACTGTGTGGCGGGTGGCGGCCAGTGTTGTGGCCATTGGTTTGGGTGACACTGGGGGGGTTGGGATCGAAAGGTCTCAAGATGTTTAAAGTGCCAGGCAGATGTTCACACGTGGCTGAAGTAGTGCATGTTATCGCATGTTTGTCATCTTTGGGGATGGCTCTCAAGAAGGGTTCAAGAAATCCAAGCCAAGCAACTGCTCTCCGTTCTTGTAGTGGGTTCAGCTAAAGCTGATGTTCAAGCGAGACAACTCATTCCCTGGAAGAATCGATGGTCGCGTGGAGTGCATGGGAGTCCTGTTTGGTCTTCGGATTTCATGGGTCATCCGACAGGCCATTTTCTCATCCACAGGCCTTGATTCCAGGGAATGTACTCAAGGATTGTCTCCCCAAAAGGTGGGCCCTTATATGAAAGACATCTTGGAGGTTGTGCCAGCTACTCGGAAACCACCGTACCGGTAGAATGCTGCAACAAAACAGTTTCCAAAGGTTAGTACCCGTAGACACGCACGCCATAGCAGTGGTTTCAGAAGTCTTATAGGGGTCAATAGGGGTTCACCACCGAGCTTGGGCAGTGTGCCATCGAGCTCTCGTAGTCCTCCCAGTAGCGATGGCCTCCAACCTACTTGCGATGGCCACTACATAATATGCCATTTATAGATTCCCAAGACTTGGCACCATGTCATACAGGAACTCCTCGACTCGGGTCACCGTTCCAGATCATTTTTCATCATCTGGACTCCCCAAAGTTGTAGCGGTCACATGCGGCTTGGCCCCCTCGCAGACAACTAACATGGACCCTGAAAAATGCTTAGCCCGGTGGTTTCGACGATCTGTCCTCTACAAAAAAATACCATTCCCGGGTAGCTTCATGACATGTCTATGATTCTATGATTCATGCTTTTGCAAGTATCTCAAGAATCAATCTTTCTTCACCAAACCTTTGGTTCTTCCACCTGTGCCGGAGGCTCTTCGCAATGATCCGGGTGCCGTACTCCATCCAGCACCAGTCACTTGGGACTTCCAGGGAGGAAGATGGAAGCCAAGCCAAGGGATGGAAGCTTCCAACCAGCAGGACGAACCGTGCCCCTGTCACATCATGTCACATCCACTCACTGGGATGGGACTTCGCCCACCACCCCCGACGGAAGGTAGGCTTTTCTTTGGGGTGTCCTGTTTTGGTGTGTCATTTGAAGTGTCTTAAACAGTTTTTTTTTTTTGTTTTAATATCTTTTCACTGAGCACAGCTCTCCACACTGCTGGTCACTGGCTTCCAAAACACTTTCGTTTTTCTCCAGAAAGACTTCAGTCTACAGCTTCTTCCCGGTTGCAGAGCTGGACTGAGAACATCGGGTGCACGAACGGACGAACACATCACGAGCTGGCGAGCTCACCCCGTGGTTCGTAGAGGAAAACAGTGCTTCATGTGTGGAGGAAAGCAAGCTTTTCCAATATGGTCATGCTTCATTTATGTTTTTTCAGTGGATCAGGAGCCCCTTTGCACTGAGGCAGCAATGGATGCTCCTACGATTCCTGGGGTTCCTGCTTCTGTTGTGTCGCTTGGCCTAGCTGGGGCACAAGATGCTTGGTTGGCTGTTGTTGCATCTGCAGGGTCGTGCCTGATAGATTGGAGTTGCTGGCCGGATCCTTCCTCCTATAATTCCTATGGTCCTCTTCAACGGTTGGCCTCCTATGGTCCTCTGGCTCGAGCCATCCAAAGGAGGCAAGTCAAGGAGGAGGTGTTGCCTGAATGCCTCCTAGAACTCTGTAGGTGTTGGCTTCCCCCATCTCGACCCACCTCCCAGTTCAAGTCGAAGGCCGCGAGGATTCGCCCATCTACCTTTTGTAGTATGACTTGACAGTATGTCAGCATCTACCCCTCAGTCTTGTCCGTCAGAAAATATCTTTTCGCTTGCAATCTCCCCTGTTGCAGCGACTCAGCGACGGCAGTACAAACAGATGACGGAGGTCACATCAACACAATGAGATCACCCACCCAACGTAGCTGAAGAGCCTTCCAAGATCGAACCTGTGGTCAGTGGTGAGGCTAGGTGTCCCGTTTGGGCTCCTGGCCCACCTCCGTTTCGAAGGTGGTTGGGGCGGGTTCGGGGGTCTAACCACCGAACCTGAGGATATGGGCCAGTTGCCCTAGGGTGTGTAGGACTCTTCCCTCGACATTCTGCGTCGATTCTGCGTGCAGTTCGCTTCTTCCTCGCCTCAAGAGGTCATTGGTTCGCTTGCCTTTGGTGCTTAGCCCTTCCTCTCATCGACCAGGACCTCCCAGAATTGATGCAAGGGAACATCACGAGAGGAGACCCAATAGATCTTTTTCGGCCAAGAGTTTCCCTTCAACCGTCCTTCTGAGAGCGGTCCAAGAGCGATCGTATCCGGATACCGATTGGCCGCGATCGACCTTTCTGTTTGGGAGAGGGTTCTGTTGGGAGGGCATGGCTGGTGGCTGGTCGGTCCTGGTTTTTGGGCGGAAGTCTCCGAGAAGACTTGTTACTAGTAGTATAAGGATGCTCCTAGTAGTACGGCCAGGAGCCCCTAGTAGCATCCTTGCTCCTAGTAGCGATGCCCTTTGTTACTAGTAGCCTCCGGTGATGTTCTTTTTCCCGTGTTTTTGGGTGAATTGATCGTTCCAGTGAACTTGTTCGGCGGTTGGAGGACAAGTCCAAGTAGTTGTGATGCTCATGGAGCACATGGATTGCGGTCCTGCGTTTTGGTCTCAGATGCTCATCATCCATTCAAAAGTTCGAGAATCCAATGACCAGGACCTGGGCAGTGCTAGAGCGTTCGATTTCGATGGCAGGAGGTAGATGAGCTTCCCCACAGCCCGTGGTCGATTGAGATCCCTTTACACTCCCTGGAACTAACATGGAAGTGGAAAACCACCTCTCCACTTCCATGTTAGTTCCAGGGGGTGTAGATGCCGGAATCCGTTCAACCATCTTCCACCAGGATGCCGGGGTTGACGATGCCATTGACCAGATCCGAAATCCCGAACACATGGGATTGGTCATGGTGATGTCCAAGAAAAGGGGGGGAAACTGGGCCAGGGATTCACTGAGTGAACTCCAGGAATCTCCAGGATGTGCACTGTTCTGACTTATTGGACTTATTTTCACCAATATGGATCCACATACCCTTCTGAGGTACGGTGATTGGAGACTCGTTTGGATGTAGGCGCTCATAGGCTCCAGGTCCTCCGTCTTATTGGACCTGGGGAGGTTGCGTGGAGGGTCGTCATGCAGCTTCTGAGAAGGTCGGACTGAAGGGAGAGGGTGCATGGTTGCTGCGAAGTTGCAGTGCCCGCCAGGAGGTTCCCAAATGGATTGATGATCAAAATGGGCTGCGATTGGAGCTCCTTTGGCTGCTGCAACGGCGGACCTTTTCAAGAGGTGGCAATGGATTCCGTGGAATTGGAACATCCAAATGACAAGTGAATGGACCACATGACGATGGTTCTAAACATTGCATGCTCCCCCCAACTGGCCCGGTCAATGGTCCTAAGGTCTTCTTTGAATTGAGTGAGGGAACGCCTGAAGTGGGGTGCTCCTGCTCCTGGGAGTGGAATTTACAAGATCTCGGCTTTGGAAGAGATTCCAAATGTAGGGGTAGGGGTGCTTGCAAAATAGAATGAATGGAACGAGTCGATGTTCATTCTTATGCCAACCATGGAGTGTTTGGGATATGAAGTACCTTAAGTCTATATCAGATGGAGTGTTAGGGGTATTGAATCTCCATATCAATCAGAGGAGAGGCTTTGAAGAGGCTGACGGAACTCTTCCAACCTCCATCACCAGGTTCGACCAGGGCAGCTTCTCTCCGGTCACATGGTCAGCAGCTTCTCTCGGGCTAAGGCTTCAAGGGAGGCCGCTGAACCTGGTGGAAACCTATATGTGGGCCTTCTATTTCTGCAGTCCCTGGGAGCTCAGAACCCTTTATTCGTTCGCCTTTTGCTGGCCCGCGCGACGTTCGGCCGTGTTCACGCCCTTCAATGTCGCGTCGCGTGCGCGTCATGCATCCGTGCATCCTGGGCGGACAGCCCAACAGTCGGGCCGAAGATAGAACCCTAGACCAGGACCCTGCAACAGGTCACCACCTGCGACTTTGAAGCCCGCGAAAGCCTTCAGAGGAGACCTATTGGAAGGAGCTGGGGTATGTATGGTCCCTATAACGATTCAATATCTAAGGCGATTGCACAAGTGTTGCACGACGAAGATTTTTGGTCCGTCAATTCCCTGCAAGATTTGTTTTTTTTCGTCCCCGCATGTCCCAGCAAATGAGGCCTCCTTTGGGTTGCTAGACCCTTACCAGGATCCTCACTGCAGGTCACCACCTCCAGTTTGAAGTCTCCATCTGAGCCTCAAGACCAAAAAAAAACTGTTTCCGAGATCGATATACTTTCTCATTTCGCCCATGTGCCAATCCTCGGGCCGAAACCTCTTTCTTTCGCTCGGAAAAGGGCCTGGTGGTAGAAGAGGCTCCCTCCTTGGATGGATGCACCACCACTAAGAAAACCTAACTTCTATAGAGGTTGGCAGACTTATAACGTTGGTTATAACTAGGTATATTTATAACCTATAGGCTATAAGTCCACTTAGAGCAACTGCCGGCCAAGTAGCGTTTGCCGCCATGGGCAGGTTATACCATGACCTCCGTGGGCTACGGCGACATCGGGCCGAAGACTCCCGGCTCAAGGCGCCCAGTGCCACCGCTTTCGGATCCCCCCCCGACGTGAGACACGGAGCTGTTTGGGACTGGAAGATTCCACGTGAGGGTGAAGAGAGGGCTGGGTGGAAGAGAGGGGGGTCAATGTAGGTATAGAGCCATACATGGAGTGTCCAGGACTGTTGAGTCACTTAGAGTGGCCTAAGATGGTCTGACATGTCTGACCATATAGCCCAAACACTCCATGGGACTGCCATACATATGACTGTATACATTGATCCCCCCTTGGCTGTTTCCCCTGGCCGTTTCTCGGCCGGAACATCGCCACCCCACGTCGACCCGCTTAGCCGCTGGAGCCGCTGGACTGTGTTCATCCACACGGTCCACGGCTGACCGTGGACCGTGTGGTCTTCGAAGTCACAACGTCCGCGTCCGCATGGCTTGGTTGAAAGGTCCGATTGCCGCCAGGGTCCCGGTCGAGTGAAGACACTCACTTTACACTGTCTAGAAGCATCCAGAAGCAACTTAGTTGATACAACTGATGTCAGGTGTCAGGGGTCATCATGTTTCATCCATCTCTGATTGTACGGGGGGGGCTCCTACCTAAGCCATCCTAAGCCACCCTTCCGATCCATTCCGGATCCCAGCGATCCATTCCGATCCATTGGCTCGTGCTGTGCTTTGCTCAGGAATGAGTTGGAAGTCGCCCTTTGCACGTCCATGGCCACTCGGATGGTCCCACGGCCGCCACGTGCGGCTCGCTGTTTGGGCTTCGCCAACGGTGCAAAAACCGGGGGTGTCGAATCCATGGCGCCATGTGGTGCATTTTGTGCTAGACAGATGTGCAACTAACTCAATCTAACTCACTGTGCAACTTGTTTTTCAAGCTTCTTGGTTGTCAAATCATACTAGTATAGCATGCAAGTCGACGTTTGTTCGAAGCACACCGCCAGCAAGTCGTGAGCCGTTCGAGCAGGTGATTTGCACTGGGTTCGGCTGGGCTTATGTCCTGGGCCAGATTTGTGCCATCGTCGCGGACATCAATGAGGACGGCGGTAGGTGGTCGGAACAAGGGAAATCAACTGTATCCATTTAGGGTCACCATGGAGACTACCAGGACTACTTAGGGATCTCCATTGAACACCCATTGGATGCTCTAGGTCGGTGATTTGTATGACCGGTCCATTTCCCTAGGGCTCCAAGTACCTTCTGAGAAGGTATTTGGATCCCTAGGGTTTGTTAAGTTTCTTGAATAATCAGGCAGGTCCCCGACATGACAGGTTTAAACACCTTCGCCCGGACCGGTCTTGGTGCCATATGTCTCCAGGACAGTCAAGCCTTCCGCATGCGAGCCATAGCTGCAGTAGCGCAGTTGGGGCAACAGCGGTGGTGCTTGTGGAATTGATGTGTTTGTACCAACCAAGGGTGGGAGTTTGCAGACGACACTTGTTCGACAACTACTTACACGTCTCCAGTCCTTGAATACTAGGGTTATTAGGGCATGGGGTCCTGTAAAGCTGGTGCTCGGATAGCCAACGAGCACTGCCACTGCACTAACACCACGATGATGATGACACTACGTCACAACTACTCATGCTCTACTACTGCTTGTGCTCGTGCCGAAAGCTTGTAAGATCTTGTGTTGTTTGTTTATTCACAAAGCTGACAAAGCTCAAGCCTTTGCTTTAAATCTTAATCTAAACCTTTACTCCCTTTTCGAGATAATAAAGAAAGGCATAGAAAGACTATATGTTTGGTGACTGCACCCTGGTTTTGATCGTCCCTACGTTTTTTTGTCCTTGTCGTCGTTGTGTTTGTTGCTGCGCTGATCCACCAACCTGTGCATGGTGTTCATCCTCCACGCCTCTTCGGTGCTCCGATTCGTTGGTCAGCCACTCAACTCTCAATCGAGGAATGCATCATCCCAACCTGATGATGGACAAAGAGCGCTTGCCCGAGCAACTGCGACAGCGACTCCGGAATTTCTTCCTGCACCTCGGCCGTGTTTTTTTTTTTTTGAACGCCCACCCTTTTGGGTTTAGAAGTGGTTACTAAACCACTAGACTAAGGTTAAACCCCTTCGCAAAGGACCTATGGACAGCCATGACAGATGTTCCTTGTAGCATGCAATTGTGGTATCAAGATCATGCGAGGTCACTCCTTGTTTTCTGGTTACTGGTTGGAGTGTCCGATGGATAGGGCACTCCCTACTTACTGATTGATCCTACAGCGATTCGCAGCCCTTGGACTCAATCAGCCCAATCTGGTGAACCTGGTGAACCGGTGCAATAGCCCACCTCGGCACCAACGACTCCCATGAGCACTTTCACGCGTGCGGTTGCGCAACCCACCTACAGATGGCCAACTGGATTGGATCCCATGGCCAACAGCAAAAAGAGGTAAGGGATGGTAAGGGATGGTAAGGGCTTGATTCTGACCAGGACCTTCAGTTTGTGACCTCCTTGGAGTCTCTACTGGCCAATGTTGGGACTAAATGACCCTCATCCTGAAAACCTCAATAAAAGGTCACGAACTGAAGGTCCTGTTAGAATCATCTCCTCTGGATGCAAACCTGCGCTTGCGTCCAGGAGGGTGGCGTTCCGTGGTCGTTCCGTGGTCCTGTTAATCCGCTGCGGTGAAACCCCACAGCACGGTTTGGGCCGAGGCAAAACCGTACACTGGCACAGCACTTGAACAACCAGGAGTTGTTGACGCTCGAGCGGGAGATAGGAGGTGGCCAGGTGGCCTAAGCCAAGCACTTAGGAGAAAGGAGGTGGCCTGCTGGGGCAGCAACTTTCTCTGAGGGAGGAGAGTGGTTTGAGATGGTTGAGTCCAGGGCTTGTCCAATGAGAATTTTGGAGGTCCAACAGCCATATAGTATAGGGGCCCCTTGAATGGCCAATTTTCCTCTACAACCAGGGGGTTTTCCTCTACAAACATGCTTTTTTTCCTCGACAAGGAGTGTAGCCTAGCAATTTATTTCAGGTTCATCCAATCATTCAACCAGAGATTTGCACTACGGTGTTGGCATGTCGTGCCTTTTCGGTTGTTCAAACACATTGTGCACCGTAAAGCACTGTCGAGCGCGAATTGAGCTGGAAACAGTTGCATCCTTCACCTGAGGTGGCTATTATATACATATGCATTCTGTGGGTTTGTCCTATTACCTGTAGAGCTGTCGGAAAAGAAGCAAGACGCAATTTTTAGAGAAAGGCCTGCAACCTGACCATCATCATCCACTGAGCCCTGGCAATACCTGTATATATATATAGAGAGAGAGAGAGATGAATGTTTGGGTATGAAAATCAATGCTTCTGTTGCAGGAACACCTAGGAATGATAGCAGGTTCAATGCTTTGGAACAGTGCGGTATTTTTTAACCTTGGACCGCAAGGTGTCATTGGCCAAAGTCTTGCTCATGAAGTGCGTGTCAAATATGCTCCTCTATATGTCATGACTCAGCCATCACCCTACCCTACAAAGGAACTACCCAGACACTCTGCGATTGGTGGCTTCCACCCCAGGCCCGATCTCTTTGACCTCGTCGGTCGAACCAAAAACACTCCCACAGCGCCGGTGGCCCGCACGTGGTTCGGTCGCAGCAGTAAGCGCGCCTTTCCGCGCCGCGCTTTTCGACCGGGCGGCGCGGCCTGAGGAACAGCATGAGTCCACAGCTGCAGTCGGAAGTGTGTTTCGCCTCGAAGCTTGGATCGCTGGGATCGCTGGTCTGTGCTTGGACTGCGCGTTGGGGTGCTAAGTGCTAGAGACCTGCATACAGGCCTACACAGGCCTCTAACTGTGCAGGCTTTGAGATGTGATCCCTCCAAAAGATAGAGGGTGTAGAACATGATGGAACAAAAACTTGATTGGAGCCTGGGGACCTCTATAATAGTCTAAATATCCCATACACTCCATGGGACTGGAATATATGCCGCCCCAGACAGGCCCCCCTGGCGGCATATATGGCAGTCCCATGGAGCGTCTGGGTATGTTAACATGTTTGATGATCTTCTTCCACCACTGCGGGGTCAGAACATAGGCATCGTTCTGTTTTTGGCCTCGGGGTATTTTTGGAAGACACCGCTTCAAAGTGCATGTTGAGCAGAACTTCGTGCACCACCATGAGATGGATGACCCACACTGTGAGCTTTTAACCTTGTCTTGAGTATGCAGGATCTTGATGGATTGGCGTGCGTGGGGTTCATGTTCTTCAGCCCATTTCTCCCTCCTTCAGCCATCCTTCACTCTTGTCTTTTGTTTTATTTCGAACGTCACACCTTCTTGGGCCGAGCACGCACGTGGTTTCCACGCACGCGCCGGACACTCGCCTTCTGCGGAAAAAAAACACAATGTAGCGCCGTGCAGCGGCAGCGCTGTGGTTCCGCGCGGCGCAGCTCGGTCAGGAACTTGGAATGGCTTCGAAAGGTCAGTTTCTTCGATGACTTCATTCGGCCTCCTGGAAGAAAGACACACGCAGACACGACCCGTCGACGGGACTGCCGAGAAACGGACTGCCTTCGAAACGGGCGTTCGGGGTGGTTGAAGTCGGGGTCTGTCTGGGGCGGCAGTCCTATGGCAGTCCCAGACGGGGAGTGTTTGGGACAGGAAGTCCTGGGAGACGGGACAAATCATGGGTGATTGCAGGAGGACGGTGCTGATTGGTGGGTGGGTGGGTAATGTTAGATTTGACTTAGGGTGTAGCCCATGACCAGTAGAGCCAGTAGAGCTGTCGGTGAAGAAATATCACTAGTTTGTAAGGCCTGCAACCAGGCCCCATCATCCACTGGGCCCTGGGTGTTTGGGATACACCCAAGTTTGACTTTACTTCCCTAGGGCTCCAACCATTTCCTCAGAAGGTGGTTTAGACCCCCAAAACACACCCCAACCACCTTCTCAGGAGGTGGTTGGAGCCCTAGGGCTTCTTCCCAAGGATGGCCTTGGTTCTTGCCCCAAGAATCCGAGCTTGGGCTCTCGGCCGGGGTCGGACCTTCTCCACCGTTTCACGCAGGGGTGGGCCGGTTCCCAAACCCTATCTGTTGGTTCGGGCCCGGATTCTTAGCCCAAACACTCCATGGGACTGCCATATATGCCGATCAATTGACCCCTCAAACCACCCCAATGTAGGCATAATATAAGGCATACATGGAGTGTCTGGGTTAGGGTGGGCAGAACTTCCGTCGCAGCGTCGTTCCGATGCCGACACCTGGGGGTGGGACCTCGTGCCGGTCGGGGTCGACCATTCTGCCCAACCGTCTGACTTCCAAGACCGTTGACATAAAGGTTGACCAGTTGACCTGGTCTTGCACGTGGTGTAACATCCTTAGTAAGGCTTCTCTCTGGGATTCAGGCTATTAAATCACGTGGTGAATTAAATCAATGGCAGCCAAGAATTCTTGGGTCCATCCATATTGTTTCTTCATGCATCGTGCCAACTGCATGAGATCCCTTAGAACCGACCCTTTCAAACTAGCTTAACTAGCTGTGTTGACTAGTTGGACTGGATCTTCACGATGTCAGTTGAGCTTTGTTGCTTGATGGTTTCATAGATTTGATGTTTGTTTTGGTTGATGCTCACATGTGTTCAGCCTCAAGCCCAAAGTATTTTTGGAACTCTCTCTCCCTCTCTCTCTCTCTATATATACCAGGACCATCCAATGGGTATCCAATGGACTACCCTACCCTACTTAGGGATCTCCATTGGACACCCATTGGATGGTCCAGGTATATGTATAGATCATCAAAGCGACTCATGTTTGGATAGGTTGAGGGCACCAACCAATGAAATCCGGGTAGTGCAATGTGCTGCTGTTGGCGCACGTGCCGACACGAGGCACTTCGAGAAGATGGAGAGGAGTGACGTGGAATTGATCGGAAAACGTTTGGATATGCTTGGATGTTTGTTCTGGTACCGATGATCATCGATGTGAATCATACATCCCAGACCATCCGTAGTATGGAATAGTTTGTCCCACACATGGAGTGTTTGGGCATGTACCTCTGACTCACTAGTTAATTAGCATGGAAGTGGAAAATGGTCCCTAGGAAGGCTCCTTTCCTTTATGAACAGAGTGGTTCCACTTGAGCATGTGATGCGTTTGTCGTGTTATTCCATGATGACCCTGGTAGTGTAATTTACCGTTCCATCCATGGATGGTTGGGGGCCCGAACTCACTCACAGGGGCTGTCGACTTCCGCTCTATAGAACTCTTGTTGTTTTTTGTTTAAAGGGAATCACCCCAGCCAGAGTTTCTCCTCGTGCCAGTTTCTCATCCAGCAATGATGTCTTCTTCTCTCATGACATGTCCGTTCTACCACTCTGTATCGAGCTACACCGGAAAACCCGGATCTCGCTGTCGCGCGCGACCAGGTGGTATGCCGGTGCAAGCCTATCACGGCTGCATCGCCGAAGTGGCCAGGCCGCTGTCCGAGTCGACCGGCCGTGTGAGGTGCAATTGGGACCTCTTCGAATAGGCCCTACAACCAAAAACCCTCAAACTAGGTCCAGGCGAGTTCGGCCACGCAGACGGGTCCGGTTGATATTAGTAATACTTACTACCAGGACACCGTGGGGTGCCCTGTCTGGAAGCTGAACGGCCGGTAGTGTGGGGTAGTTCAGCCAGGACACCCCGAAGGTCGGAGGGTCCTGGTATAGCTGGTGTTTTGATATGTTTTGACAAACTATTTACTGTACTATAGCTGGTGGTTTCAGCTTTTTTTGACCTTGTAGTTTGCTTGATGCCCTATGCGCCAAGTGTTCCCAACCCTCAAGTGATTGCTTCTAGTACAGGTTGCATCAAGAAGGACAAACATCGCGAGTTCCATCGAGTTCTGAGAAAGCTTCCTATCGCATCATGGGATCGGTGGATGGGCAGTGGATGGTTTCAGAGACAGCTTCCTCGAATCGGCGACTCCAGGGCGGGCCGGTTGGGGTGTGGTTTTCATGGCCACCTGCGTAGAGCTCTACGCACCCAAGGGAGACGCCCTGGTAGTCTGGAACTTTAGGCACCACCGGTTGGGTGTGTCAGGCACTGGACTCAGGTCATCTATCAGCACCACTGCCCAGTCATCACCCACGTGTAGAAGTCTCCATTTCAGCCACCATGTCGAAAAGGTCGGACTGTGTATAAAAGGTCAGACTGGACTCCCAAGCTAGAACTGTTGGATGATGCCTTCAGGAGATTGGAATGCATTGCCTTCGCACAGGAGGAGCACTTTGAAACAGCACAGGCCAATCCGGGCGAGGGGTGTCGCGGTCGCGAGGTCGCGTGGCCTGGCCACTGGGCCACCCGAACGTTCAACAGTGACCATCTTTTTCCCTATAGCATTCAAGATCGCTTACCCAACAGATCCTACTTGGGGGTCGTCGTTGTCGTTGTCGTTGTCGTTGTCGTTGTGGTTGTGGTTGTGGTTGTGGTTGTGGTTGCGGTTGTGGTTGTGGTTGTGGTTGTTGTTGTTGTTGTTGTTGTCGTTGTGATTGTTGTTGTTGTTGTTGTTGTTGTTGTTGTTGTTGTTGTTGTTGTTGTTGTTGTT